CCTGCCTGAAACAAGGAATAATGATAATAATAGCTTGCAATTATGCAGCCATCCTCATTAAGGAAACATTTTAAAGACATTAATAAATTACTCTTGATAATGCCCCTTTGTAGCAGATGAGTACAATTGTCTTATGTTGCAGATAGAGTAATTTGGTTTATCAGAACTGAAAGGAGAGCAAAATCCCCAACTGCTGAATACAAAACTGTGCAGCCTTTTTGGCAGCTTTATTAGGCAGAAATGTGATTGTCTTTATAATCAATTATAATGCACTTAGACTTCCTGTAGGCCTTCAGTAAATATGAATATAAGGCCTACCTTCTTCCCTTTAGTTTCTTACATTGGTGCCTTGCTTCTTCATATTGCCATTCTTTGGCACTGGCCAGTCTACCTATGGAAACTCTTCCACAAGACCATAAGAGGGAATCTGGTGGATTAGGCCAAAGGCCCGTCTTGTCCAACATCCTGTGCTCACAGTGGCCAGATACCTATGGGAAGCCCATAAGCAGACCATAGTGGCCATTTCCCACTTATCTGAGGCAGTGCACAGGCATCATGTTTAGTAGCCATTGATAGGCTTACTATTGATAGGCATTGATAACTGTGCAGGTATCGGAACACTGACATATCCTTGGGAAGCCCCCAAAAGCTAAGCGCATGCCAAATCACAATTATAATATGCTCCCAATGCGCTTCCCTTTTTAGAAGTGAACTCCGTATACCTGTCCTTTGTCTATTAGTAATTAGGATAACAACTGCCTGAAATACCATGCAATTTGTGGTTTCCTAACTCCAGTATATCCCTGACTCTATGTTTTCCTACTTCTATGTCCACCTTTTGACTAGCATTAGCTCATATCATGCATGACGCACCAGAACAAGAGCAGCCTATGGAGAGGACTTTTCTCAAATGTGACAAAGGGGAGATTCCCATCCCTTCCCACTGCAAGTTTCCCTATATTTAATTAGGGTCACTGATTGGATTAAATGAATATGACTGCCCACAATGCTTTTTTCTCCTTTCGGATGCCTTTTCCTTTCAGAAATCGGTATGACCTATATATGGCTATCACATTGTACCCCTGGTGAAGCCTGAGTTGAGGAAATAGATTTGCTGTGAAATCTGAGCAATTATTATTTCAGTCTTATCAGAATAACTGGAGAACCTCATTTCTGGGCACTCCCCGCCCCCACCCTTTATATGGTCTACCAGTGACTATATTAGTACTGATGCTATCCCAGAGGCTGCTTATCTATAATGACTTATGAATTTGCAACTTAGTTAAACTATCATTTCTTTTGAAACTTTCTTTGTTAGGCCGAATTGCTGCTATTAAGATGAATGTATTGCCAAGGATGTTGTTTTTATTTCAGACACTTCAGGTTTTGGACAAAATGGAGTGCTTTCAGAAGTGGCAGAGAGACATTTCTAAGTTTGTCTGGCAGGGCAAAAAGCCCAGAATTAAGTTTAAGATATTAACTGATGCAAAACAAAGAGGGGCTTTGCCCTGCCAGACTTAAAGTTGTATTATGAAGCCGCAGCGTTCTGCTGGCTAAAAGACTGGCTACTTCTTGAAGACACTGATGTGTTAGATCTGGAAGGGTTTAACAATGTTTTTGGATGGCATGCATATTTATGGTATGACAAAGTTAAAGCAAATAAGGCCTTCAAGAACCATATTGTCAGAAAATCACTGTTTAATGTCTGGACAAAATATAAAGACTTGCTGGAAAATAAAACACCAAGGTGGCTTTCACCTTTGGAAGCTAAGGCTCGAAAAAGACCCAATATGGAGGCTAAATGGCCAAAATATTGGGAAATATTAGAAAAGGATGGAGACAATTGGAAATTGCAGAGTTTGGAGAAAATGAAAGACAAAGTGCGAGATTGGTTACATTACGCTCAGATTAAAGAAGTTTTTAAAAATGATAAGAAATTAGGGTTCCAGGTGGAGAAATCGAAACTAGAAACAGAATTGTTAGAACCAAAGATTAAGGTACTTTCAAGGATGTATAACTTGCTGTTGGAATGGAATACACAAGATGAAATGGTTAAATCGGCTATGATAAGGTGGGCACAGGATATTGGGTATAATATTATGTTTGAGGACTGGGAAAGGTTGTGGAGTAATGGATTGAAGTTTACTGCATGTAACGCTCTGAAAGAAAATGTAATGAAAATGATTTATAGATGGTATATGACCCCAGTCAAACTTGCAAAAATTTACCACCTGTCTGATAATAAGTGTTGGAAATGTAAAGAGTCTGAGGGAACGTTCTTCCACCTCTGGTGGACTTGCCCTAAAGTGAAGGCGTTCTGGGAGATGATTTATAACGAATTGAAAAAGGTATTTAAATATACCTTCACTAAGAAACCAGAGGCTTTCCTTTTGGGTATTGTCGGCCAAGGGGTGGCAAGGAAGGATCAGACATTTTTATGTATGCAACAACAGCAGCAAGGATACTTCTTGCAAAACATTGGAAAACTCAAGATCTACCCACACTGGAAGAATGGCAGATGCAACTGATAGACTACATGGAACTGGCTGAAATGACCGGCAGAATCCGTGACCTGGGAGAAGAAAGGATTGAGGAGGATTGGAAGAAATTCAAGAACTATTTACAAAAATATTGCAATTTGAGTGAATGCTAAATAAGATGCTAGACCAAAATAACTGAGCACCACTAAATTTAGAAGTTTTCTATGAAAATAAGTAAGACTGTGAAAATTTAATTCCCTTTGAAAATTATAAGATTATGAAATATAGAAGCGATATAAGAATTTAAATAAGATGATAAATTGCTGACAAAATGTTATAACGATGAAAGTGGGAGCGGGAGATGTGAGGAAGTCCAAAGAAAATGTGAAATTATGTCAAGACAAAGGTCATATTGTTTAATATGTTTATTTTTATTGTAAAACCCAATAAATTGCTTTAAAAAAAAAAATAAATAAACTATCATTTCTTCTCTATTATGGTATATCTTCAGTCCAGTAAACTTTCCTGGCATCTATGGATCAGTTAAGGACAGAACGACTTACAAGAATGTGGGAAGTGCTTAGTCTTCTGGATGTCTGCCCTTGAGAAAGGCTTTCCCCATGCCCAATAATGGGAGGTAGTCATAATTTTAATGTAGCACTTATAAAAAGCAACATTTTTTCTTCTTTTTACTGGCATTGGAGAAGAAATGCTAAAGCAAGAGTTTATCAGGAGGAAAGTTTCTTTCCTGATTTCAGGTGGCTTATCTTTTAAGGTGCTTAAAGGTAAAGTAAAGAGACCCCTGACCATTTGGTCCAGTCATGGACGACTCTGGGGTTGCGGCACTCATCTCGCTTTATTGGCTGAGGGAGCCGGCGTACAGCTTCCAGGTCATGTGGCCAGCATGTCTATGCCACTTCTGGCGAACCAGAGCAGTGCATGGAAACACCGTTTACCTTCCTGCTGGAAGCACTTTGCACTTTGACGTGCTTTCGAACTGCTAGGTTGGCAGGAGCAGGGACCAAGCAATGGGAGCTCACCCCGTCGCGGAGATTTGAACCGCTGACTTTCTGATCGGCAAGCCCTAGGCTCAGTGGTTTAGACCATAGTGCCACCTTAGCTGAGTTTAAAAGTCTAAGGGAAGTGATACAGGAAATCTGCAACAGGCAAGGTTTTGTGCAGCCATGTACCAGCCCCCTGTTTCTCCAATCTCAGGCAGGCAATGGATTCAGGGATACAGAAGGCTTACTGTTTCCTCAGTAGAGCATCAAAAATGCTTGATGGGCTGCTTTCAGCTTGGTGGGTCGCAAGCTGAGGAGGCCTGCATAAGATGGTATCTTTTACTGAACCAACATCTGCTGAAGTTTTGCTGGTTTGATGTATCCAGCTCATTGAGTTGCACTGAACCCTTCACTGGGTTGAATTGAAAAACAGCAAATTCTTGACTATTAGAGCCATCGAGGTTATATGCATAAATAGTATGACAGAGAAGAACAAAGGTAAGGCCATCACCTTTTTCATTTAGGCTGGCAAAACAGGCTCATTCTCAGGTGAAAGCAACTGTCAACACCAGTGCATCATCATACATTCCATTAGCGACCTGGATGTGAAAGCATGAAAGAGCTTCCACAGTTCAGTTATGAAAAACCAACACTCACATACACACAAATGCACTGCACCATCTAAGCAAAATAAGCCCAGCTTTTTGAAGTGAACATTTGCTTTGTTCATATTTTTGCTGTTTTGGAGGTGGGGAAAAGAGAGAGACGAAAAGTTAAAGTCAGACTTTCTCTTCCCTTTGAAATATAGGGCACAGTTAAGTCTGCTGTGACTACAACACACATGAATGGAAGATGCAACAGGCTCAAGAGAGCTCTGTTCCCCCTACCGCACTACACTGCTTTATTATATGCACCGGAAGTACAATGGGCCACTAGGAGAAATGGAAGGCCCCTCACATCCTCATCTAGCACACCTTCTCAACTTGATGCAAGTTCCCCATGCTCCCAAGATATTATATTTCATCCAACATCCCATATAATTATAATTCTATTCTGTATATTGTAAATATGGGTAGAGGTTATCCTGGCTCCAAACTAGCTAAAGTTAGCAGCAATGTACAGTACAATTCTGTGCATGTTTATTAACAAGTGAGTCCTACTGAGTTCTGGAAGCCTTACTCCCAGGACAGTGTGTGCATAAAATTGGGTTGTAGGTCCCAAAGGATGAGTTGGTGGCAAGTTCTGCTGCTTTCAATGAAACTGGAGACATGCTTTATTTTAATTGGATTGGATCCTTCATCTTTTTCTCATCCCTTTCCCTGATCTCAGGAATCTTTTGACTGTGATCTTTAAGTGATACCAGTGGGAAATGTGTTCTTTTACATGTTCATGAAGTGCTATTTTATTTTTATTATTATTAAGATAAATGTTTTCTCATTTGGTCAACACCTAACTAAAATGACTGAAATATTTGCATTAATAAAAGTAATCTTTATTTCTGCTCAAATTAGAATTCAGTGCGCGTGCACGCACACACACACACAGTGAATATATATATGAATGTGTGTGTGTGTGTGTGTGTGTGTGTGTATGTATGTATATATGTTTGTGTGTGTGTGTGTGTGTGTGTGTATGGAAGCTAGGGGTGGACAACTGACCAGAATTTCTTTGTCTTTGAATCATTGAGATGAGAAAGGACTACAGAAGTGAAAGATAAACTCCAGCCTGTGGACCGAATGTGGCTCACCAGGCCTCCCCATCTGGGTCCGCAAAGAGATTTTTGTCATACCTTGGCCACCGTCATGGCCATCAGGTATGGGGAAGGTAAAAATGTGGTTGTGCCAAAGGGGATTTGCAGGTACCACCAACCAACTGATCAGTGGCATTTTTGCAAGTGGTAACTATCAGTTGATCTTCCTCTCCCAAGGGGTGCACCTCAAACCTTCTGCATTCAATAGTGTCCTTTTTACCATTGAGCTGCAGCCCCTCTTCAGTGGTTGTTAGCTATGGTGGCCACATGGAATGCCCATATTCAGAGGTAGCCCAGCCTGAAGGCCTATCATAGGCATTTAGTTATGCCACCAGCAGCCCACCATAGAAAGCAAGTTGCTGGGCAATGCTTAATTTGGAAGAGAGGAGGTTAAATGCTTGGGCATTAATTGGCAACACAACAGTCTTAAAATGATATTGTGCTATGTTTGAGCAAGATGTTCGGTTTAGATAGTCTTGTGCCAAATCCCTTGCCTGAACTACTTTATAAAAAAGGCTTATCCCAGCACGGCTAAACAATTTTTTGCCCAAAGGCTGCATTCACCCAAAATCATTCCACCTGGGGTTGCATGACATTAGTGGGGTGTGCCTACCCAACACATTCATTTACACACTCACACAGGACCACAAGGCCCTGTTCAGCTGTGGTTGATTATTGACCACCTTCTGCTCATGAAATGATCAGTCCTACGACTGGGGAGGCAGTCTGCACTCCCATCAAGTCATTGTCAACCTCAGCACTATGTGTACTTTTGTGTGTGTGTGTGTGTGTGTGTGGTGCCATCAAAATAGGCAGGGTTTTGTGAGGGGGAATAAAATGTGCTTGGAGGGCCAGAATAAACTCATGGACTGGGCATTTGCCATGCTGGGTTTAATCCATTGAATTCTGCATCTAACATTCTCATTTTTCTGTACAGTAAGAAACTAACTGTGGGGGTGGGGTGGGGGAGAGGGAGAAGCAGCTGTTTGGGGCAAAGTGTCAATGAAAACCAAAAATCCTTTTCGCCTCGAGGCATCTTTTATTGTTAGTGACTGATCTGAATTTTTGGATAGGGATTATGTGCCTTAATGAATTTTAATGAGAGGGAATTTAGGAAAGAAAGCCGCACACTAGCTTGAAAGCGGTGAGGGTGATGCTTGTTGAGGTCACTCAAGAGTGTCTAATTTTTAGCAGCGCTATAAACATGCTCATATTTGCTGTGGTAAATCTAGTACAGAGAGCAATTAGCATGAGATTTCACCTTGTCGCCCATCAGCAAGGGCAGCAGAGGACCTGGCACTTGGCCCTGGTAAATTACTCAGTGGAACAAGGTCGTGGTGGAAGTCTAAGCACATAATCTGAGGGTGTTGCATATTAGGCTGCTATGTACGCAATTCAAAGCAGAAATAGCATAGTCCAAACAAGAGTCAGGACAACAACAAATATGTCACAGAGGCTTTTGAGAAAAGTTATAGCACGATATTTAGACTTGGGACTCAGCTAGATTGGTAAAGAAAAAGCATTTTATATGCTTTTTAAATATGCTTTTTATATGCAGTATAACATTGTGACACCAGATGTTGCTGTGGAGTTACGTTGTTGCCAACGTGATTTCTCTTTATAAAGGTTACAACGCATTTTTCTGAAGCTTCTTTGATGTGTCTAGATCCAGCCTTAGAAAGACACTAACGTCTCAACAAATGAAACTGATCTGTAGAAAATGTAACTTGAAAAAAGAGACACTGCACATACTTTTGTAAACCAAGATATCTTTAATAAAAATATATTTATTTTAAAGAAAGAAAGATTAGCTGAGCTATGAGGTCGCATTTAGGGGTTGTTACACCATGCACACTGTAACAAGCTTAAGCACTAAGACATCCTTTCTTCTCTTCCTGGTTCAGGTTAGTTTTTCTCCCATAAGAGTCAACTACAACAACAATTTTATTATTTATATGCCATCCATCTGACACGGTTGTCCCAGCCACTCTGGGCAGCTTCCAACAAAATATTAAAAACACCATAAAACATCAACCATTAGAAACTTCCCTGTCTTCTAAAAGTAAAATAGTTGTTTATCTGTTCGACATTTGGTGGGAGGGCCTTCCACAGGGCAGGCACCACTACCGAGAAGGCCCTCTCCTTCCCAATTAATGGGGGCCACAGTAAATTACTTCTCCCCTTATTCATGTTTAGAGAGCATACCAAATTAGCCTCTGATTTCATGATACAACAAAGGTTCAAAAGAAGACATTTGCAAATGAACTCCTGCCTTCTGTTCCCTTGCAGGTCTTTGGACATAGACGTGATTGATTGATTGATTGATTGATGGATTGATTGATTGCATGCTCTGCATTCGACTTGTATGTAACTAGCTTGAGAGAACTAGATTTTTTGACATCAGAACAGTATACCCAACAACTTTTTCCAATATGAAAGAGGAAGCATTTAGGTAGTGCCCTAGACTCTCATTGAGAGAATGTTTCCAATGCATTCAAAAGAACATGTGAGGGCGTTAAACTGCAGAGAGAGTGCATCAACAGGTAAGGGCTTTAGCTCAGTGATCAGCCATCTGCCTTGCATGCAAAAGGGCCCAGGCTCAGTTCCTGGCATCTCCAGGTAAGGTTCAGAGAGACTCCTCCCTAAAACTCCAGAGAACCAATGCCAGTAAACATAGATAATACAGAGCTGGGTGGACCAATGATTTAACTTGATACAGCTTCCTTTGTTCCTATGTTGATTCTGCCTCTGAAGGAGGCTTGTTAAGCCCTCTGAAGAAAGCCAAAGGTTTTTTCAAGCCTCCCTGCAATTAGTAACCTTGCTAACTATCCCCCAACATGTGTTACTCCTCCTCGGTCTAGTCCTCACCGAGGTAGTAAAACCGCAGGTGGGGGCTGGCATGACTGAATGTGCTGTCCCTTTATTTCCCCACTCCCCTTCTACCGAGAAAATGTGCACAGCGATTCCTTCTTGGTGGCGTCTAAACTTTCCACGCAGATGTGAATTTTGGTACGAAGAAACATTAAATCATTTGAGTCCCCACCTACAGTCTGGAGTCCTACAGTCCAGACACAGGCTTATCACTTTAGTGTGAACTGAAGGGCATGTACAGCAAGCCAGTACAAAATGAGCCTTCAGCAGCTGGCTTTGCAGCCAGGAACTGATGTCTGCTACCTCAGACTTATTTTTAAGCTCCCCTTCTTTTCTTCTCTGGATCCAGCTCTGTCACTGAACGCTCAGGTAGCCTCAGTGGCTAGAAGTGCCTTTACCAACTGTGGCTGGTTCAACAGCTTTGGCCATTCCTTGACCCGGAAAGTCTTGTCACAGTAGTTCATGTGTTGGTTACTTCAGGGCTGGATTACTGCAGTGCACACTTTGTAGGGCTTTCCTTACACTTGATACAGAAGCTGCAGATGGCCTAGGCCAGGGTTTGGGAGCCAGTGTCACTTCAAATGCTGCTGGAAGACAATTCCCACCATCCCTGACCACTGGCCAGGCCAGCTGAGGCTGCTAGAAGCTGAGGCCCAGCAACAGCTGAAGGGACACAGGTTCTTCCAGTTTGCATGGTAGAGGATACTTCCTCGCTCCCAGTTGTATTACTTTGGGATACCTGATCTCTTCCATTCTGAGACCTGTTGGCTTAGTCCTTTGGAAACTAAGTTCAGGACAGTGTGACATGCTTCTAAATAATGCACTGCCTCTGAGCATTTTCCTCAACTCTGAATAAACACTGCCCACACCAGGATTAGGGATCCACATTTCCAAAACGGTGTTCAAGCAGATATATTAGCACAGAGATACCCCAGGCAAGAAGATATCCTTATTTGGCCAGGATTCACCCCTTCCATGAAGGAGATCCATCTGCATGCTCACTGAATATCAGGCCGTGCATGCCTTAACAGCAGGGGTGGTGGTGAGGAGAGTTACACACACTTTGAAAGACCACCCACCCCGTTCAGAGGGTGTTGCTTCCAGATCTTTCTTCTGCTTGACCATTCTTGTTCTCAAACTCAGTACTTCACATATTTTTTAAGCAAGATATGTCAGTCTGAATGTGCAGAGGGACATATGGGAACATGAACGGTGAGCCTCGCCCATTTAATGACACTGTGTGCAATGGGGTACATTCCCCAACCAACATAGGATCAATGTTGGTTTGCAGGGTTTCGTCTTACATGTAGGGCTTTCAGCAAGGGCACAGGGACACTTGACCACCACCAGTAATAATAGTAGCTTCCCAAAGGACCATTACTGCCACTGGGTAGCCCCCCAATATCCTGCCAAGTTTTACAATTCCACCAAAATGACCCTTAGATCCCCCCCATTTTTACTCTTAGCCTTCTGAATTTCATGCTGAGAGTTCCACCCAGGAAATGATAGCTTTGGAAAAGCCATCTGGATTGGGAAAATATTGTGTGTGAATGTGTTACAGATCCTCTCCTCTAGTGCCATACCCCAATCCAGTACGCCCCCCCTTTTACTATTTTCATTAGGAAATGCCTCCTCATGTCTGTCTGTAGAAAACAGTGGAAAAAACCCATCATAAATGGTTAAATTTCTTTGCCTTGCTGTGGATTAACTAGGTTACCCACTTTGTGATCTTATAACAGGCCGGCTGCTGCTTCTTCCCCGTGAAATAAAGACCAGCTGTGTTTTGTTATTGCAGTGCTGAACGAGGGGAGAAATCACCAACTCCCACTGTCTGGGCCAGTGATAGAGATCGCAGGCTGAAAGCATTACAGGACGTTTTGCTGTCGGAGTTCCAGCAAAGTTCAGATTGCAAGGTTATCATAGGTCTGCTCGCTCTAGGAAGCCCATCAGTGGCCATGGGAAACCCA